CTTTCCCTTTTCTTTCACTCTCAAGAATGGAACATAAGATGTGGGGCTTGACACCTCATAACACATAGCTCAATTTTCTCTCCAGCCCCAATTTATGTCAGTACTGCAAGAATGATGGCAGAGGGCATAGGTATAAATAATGTGGGCAGGAGGGGAGAACATCTAGAATGTATAGTCTATCAGGGAGCGGATTGGGTCAAGCAAGAATTTTTTTTTATTTAATTATCTTTTATACATTCAATCACATTATTTAGCTTACGAAGTGAATATTCCAACTTGAGAACATTTCTCCCTTGTCTAGTTGATAAAACTATAAAATTATCTTCAACAGGTAATACCACATTTCTTTGTCCCATTAATGCTTTGCCTCTCTACTTTCCTTTAAATGTCCTTCCTTGGCCTCTACTCTTTCACACACACTATATAAGGTATTCACATCCATTTACTGAGTTTCTATATCCTTTAGTCAATCAGTTTCTGTCATAGAGTGTGGACACTCGGTATATACTAAGTGGGGACATACAATGTCTCTCTTTCATAGCCTGGCTTGCTTCACTCAGCAGTAAATCTTCCATATTCTTCCACTTTCTGAATTATTAATTATGTCTACTCTATGCCACAGTTTTAGAAGACAGCAACATTAAAGAAATAAATCCATTTTACCAATATTTTCTCCTACTCTCTAGCCTGAATTTCCATTCTCTTAACAGTGTCTTTTGAAGAACAAATGTTTCTTAATACCATGAAGTCCATTTTATCTAAAATTTTATGATAATGCTTTTTGAGTCTGTCTAAGGTATCTTTACTTAACCCAAGATCATGAAGATTTTCTACTATTTTTCTTCTAGAGGTTTTATGGTTTTTAGCTCTTGTATTTAGGCCAATGACCCATTTCAAGTTAATATTATTCAGCACTATTTGCTGAAAAGACTATCCTTTTCCTATTGAATTATCTGAGACTCTGTCAAAAATTAATTATATATGTGCAGCTCTATTCATGAACCCGCTATTCTACTTCCTTGATCTGTCTATCTATGCTTGCATAGTATAAATAATTATATTATTTTGATAAATGCATTTTGAACTGGTATTTTAAATGGGCCTACTGTTTACCAGGCACATATCCGTCCTATTAGGTAAATATTAGTACACCCAGTTCATAAATGAAGAGACTGAATATCAGAGAGTCTAAGCAAATTGCTCAAGGCCATGCCATTCATCGTAGAGTCAGGATTTAAACCTAAGTCTGTACAACTCCAAAACCCATTCTTTTTCTGCTATCCTTTGTCTCACTAAATTCAAACCAGAAAAGTAACTGAGAAAGAGTAGTAAGTAAAAGATGGATATTTTTCCAACTTCTTTTGAGTCTTCATTTTTTTAATGTGAATGTCTGAATGACCAGATACTCAAATATAAATGAAAACATGCTATTACAAATTCTTTCTTCTAAATTCATGCTATTTTCAATATGGGAAGCTATCCCAATCTCAGCATGTTCCAGAAGTTACCAGTGAAATTGTAATACTTGTCCACTGTACCCATGTTGACAATAGCACAGCAATTTCTCTTTTACTTGTCACGCAGCTCATTCCTGGTCTTCTTGTTTAGATATATTGTTTTCTTTTCTTTCTTTCTTTCTTTTTTTTCCCCTACTTGATCCTAATGTACACTTTCTCCAGAGCTTTGAGTACTTTCATTTCCTGGTAACGTCATTTTTACCAGATGACCCAGGAGTAGCCTGGCCACACATCTCTAAAATTATGTTAACGGCTTCTATGACTAAACAAAGTCTATGCTGGGATACTAGCACAGCCGTGAATCTCATCAGATTAAACCTAAGTCTGCAGTCCAGAGAGCTGACCCAGCTCAGCCTCACTAGTGCTACGTGACTAGCTCAGTTGCATAATTTCTCTGTGTTTCAGCTTTAGCCACCCTCAGGCATGTCGAGAGTAGGATCGTTAATTGTCTCAAGATCCTCAGAAATGTCCCATAATCCATTTCCTGAGTAAGCCAGGCTGTGAGTCTGGCAGAGTGTTGCAAAATAAAATTCTCCGTGCCCTCTGCTGGTTTTGCCTTTCCCAGAAGCTTTTTCTGAAGAGTTGTGTCTGAGAACTCATGCAGTGGGTCATCCCTTCTAGTGCACTGAGTCACTCTCATTGGAAACATAGTTTTTAATGTCCTTAGCACTAGGAGTAAAACAGAGCAGGGAATCTGATGGATACTTATTAAGACCTCCATACCCTCTTTATAATACCAGGTATGTCTCAGGAGGATGTGGCTATGAGTAGTTCTTGTTTGAACATAATTCAAAGTAGGGAGACAAATGCTAGGAAAATCAATATTAGGGTGAAAGTACATAAACTCATTAGCAAAGTCAAGGAAGGCTCCCTTGAGGAAGTGTTCATTGCTTTGACATCCGAAGATTTGGTAGGAGTTAGCCAGATGAAGTGAGAAGGTAAGAGAGCTCTGGCCAGTGGCAATCTGAAGAAAGTCTCATTAGAGGAAGAAAGGGGAGGAAAGAGAGATGGCAAGAATAGGAACTAAAAAGTCTCTGAGGAATCTGTCCAGGTAGCAAGAGGGAGCCTGGCAGAAGGTGGAGCTGCAGAGGCTGGTATGTTACAAGCACTTGGCAAGCATAAGGACAGGAAACGAAGGAGGAAGAAGATAAATCCTGCCTTGAAGAGCTCAGGTACAACGAGAGGCCAACTCCAAGACCCAAAGTCAGTAGGACTGACTGAACACACAAATACTAAGGGCATGCAGCGTGCAAAATGTCACTGCACAGTCGGAGGAGCCAAGGAAACCAGAGTGAGCAGATGATTGACTTACTGAGCATGTTTGTGAAATAATCCCTGGAACACAGACTTTGTCTCCAAAATTTCCATCGAGAGTTTCAGACACTTCAAATAAAGCTCTTGAATGTACCTCAACCATAATTCTCAAAGACTATCAGTGGTGTGTTTGGAATAATTTGTAGTCAAAGCTTGGACAAGATGACACAAAACTCTCAGAAGCAATAAAACAAGATGAACAAGTCAGTGTAAGTTTTTGAAGAGGTAGGCATGTCCAGGTGTCAAAACTCAGATGGAGTGACAGGACAGCACAGAGACTAAGGGCACAGGCTCTATGGTTAACCTGTCCAAACCCATCTCGGCTCTTTTGCTTACTAGCTTTGTGACCACAGGCAAGTCTCTTAACCCCTCTGTATCTCTGTAAAGGGGAATAAGTGTACCCACCTCATAGGGTTGAGGTGAGGAAGAAATAAAATTAGCCACTATTTGGCCTGTTATTTAGACTGAGTACCAAGACAAAAATCCAAAAGGCATGAGCCCATTTTCTACAGCAAGAGTCGTTGGTGTTTTCTCTTTCCCCTTATGAGGAAGGGATGTGAAGGGAGTTGTTTTCTCCACAAGTGAAGGGAAATGAAGGGGCTTACAGAAGTCACTTGACATTTTAAATGTCTCTCACAGTTTGTGACCTCGTGGACACAGAAGACAGAGTAAGACTCATAACTGGAAAAATCTGAAGAGTAAGAAGCTTCCTGGTCAGGACTGCTGAGTTAGGGAAGCCCATGTTCCAGAGCTTGTCAGGGAAAGAAATGGGGGTACTCCCTACAGCCCCGTGATGGCCCACACAAACATGTAGAGGGAGAGGGTGCCCAGACTTCATGTTAGTTCTCACCCAGACATGGCCCAGGGGCAAAGGGAGGAGATGCCATCCATGATGTCCAGCCTGCCAAGGCCCAACAGGGAGGTGGGAAGTGGGGCCAGTGAGCTTGAATTCTAAATGAACCTGAGGAGTAATGACTATCACAGGGGACTGGACATATTAGTTACTGAGCTGAGACTATTCAGGAAGGCTTGAGTGGCTAGGCGATTTTTATTACCTAAGAGTGACTAGAAAATTTACGGATCTGTGCACATTTTCATCACAGAGTAGGGGAATAGCTAACCTTAGAGGATGAGTCTGTATAAGTTGTGGGATTCAAAAATAAGGTTAGGTAGGTCCCATAGCCTAGTAGTTAAGGGAGCCAAATCTCATATGGTTGACCTTGGTTTGAATCCCGTCACCAGTAGACTGAAAAATGCTCTGGGAATGTATGTGTGTTCCAAATCCCACCAGGAGGGAAGAATAGAGGAAAAAGAATTGAAGTCTGAGAATACCCCACTGGGGAGTGCTTTCTCCCTCTCCCTCTCCCTCTCCCTCTCCCTCTCCCTCTTCTTCTCCCTCTGTTTCTGTCTGTCTCAGACAAGTGCACACTCTCTATAGAAATGGGAAAAAAAAAGAAAGTAAAAGTAAAGTTACTTTATAATGGCACCTAGCAAGTCCCTTTTGTTTACTGTAATAATTACATGTATAAGAGCTTGGAACAATGTTGAGCACACAGCAAAGAGTTCCCTAATCATAAAATTAAACAATGTTAAGAAAATGTAAAAAATATATGTACATATCTGGGTGCTCCGTGGCATTAGATTTAATGTTTAAGGACCATCTATCTTAAATTTAAATTTAAGTTTAAGAACCATAAGTCATTGTTCACTGTTTTGTTCCCAGTACCTACAAGGCACATAGCAGATGTTCAGAAAATATTTCTTGAATGAATAACAAAAAGAACATGCTAAGCACTCTTCATGAGCTTACTTTTTTATTTTCACATGAGCTCAATGAGGGCAATTATGAACAGAATTTGGAAGATATAGAGGATGAGGCCTAAAACATCAAAGAGCAGGAAGGAACAGAACTGGCACGAACCTTCCTGCTTCCCGTTGAAATCATGCCAGACACATACTAGATTTCTGGGACACACAACGCTCCACTATTGTTGGTCACTTCCTCTGGATCCAAGTGATTGAGAGGTCAGGTCAGAAGAGTCTTGATGAAACACTTCGGGATTCCAGATGCAGAGGGCAGAACTGGCATATTAAAATGTGTTGTTATTCAATATAAATTCTAAAAATGTAAATAAATATGTCCTTTTTTAAAAATATTTTGAAGCCTTTGCTAAACCTTCTAGTATCAGAATAAAACAGAACCCAATAGAAATGTCTCTCTATTTAGCTTTGACTCCTGTCATACAGAGGCAGTTGATTCTGAGAAGAGACTTATATTTGGATTTCAAGAGCATTTCATAGCTCGGGTTGCCCTTCTGTAAAAACAGACTAAACTGTGGAAGACAGGAAGTGGGGATTTCCCTTTCTGGAGGGACCAGCTTCCTGTTGCAGAGATTTCCCATCACCTTCCTCCACTCATGTTCCTCGAGAAATGCGGTTAGAGTCTAAAATGCAGGAAAGTGTATCCCACAGCAAATAGGCCATGACGGGTCTCTATTTTGTGACAGCCATGGTCTAAGTCTCAGCCCATTGGCCTCCTATGGGCAGTTATGCTTATTCATGCTGAGCTGCAGAGCTGTGAGCATGAAGAATGAGAATGCAAGGAAGATCCACACTATAAATTTGTAATTGGCCATCAGTCAGGTAAACTCAGAGCTTGGCAGCTCTGATTAATATTTCCAAAAATTTCAGCCAAACCCATGTCACAGTCCTGGGCCTATGCCCCATTATGCTTATTCTAATTAATTATGTATTTGTCTGTTCATTTATTGATTTGCTTATTCACATAAATACACCTGTCCTGCAACCTAAACCAATAAATACTTCATAAAATTAAAAATCAAAATAATGAAAAAGTGATTGCAAAGAAAATAAGTCAAATAGAATGAAAATTAGTGTTGCACATCAGAGACTAGCATTTAGGTTTTGTCAGATCCTAGCCTTTTAGATGAATAATATTGGATTCCTCTTTGAACAAGACCAAATATTTGTCTGCAATAAATCACACTGCCAGGCCCAGCAGCACAGACGTAGGGCTGCCACCTTCCTAGTGCTGGATCACTGTGCCCCAGGCCTCCAGCGATTGCTTACCATGAGAGTGGTCATGCTCAGCCTGCCATGACTGCAGGGCTAATTGCACAGGCCCAACCCAAGAAAGTTGTGCCAGCCTGGGCACATCTCCTGGGAAAGGAACTTGTGTTGTTTTTAAATCAGAGAAAAACAATCCAAAACTCATTTGAAACTGTACATATTCTATGTCTGTTCTAGTCTATTCTCTGTTGCTAATAACAAAAATACCTGAGTGGGTAATTTAAAAAGAATAGAAGCTTATTTTACTCTAGTCATTAGAGGATATAGAAACATTGAAAATGGTTATAGATACCAGATACAGTGGGAGAGGAGGGTGGGAGAAGGAGGAGAGTCTGAGGAAGGACATTAAGGAAAAATATAGAAGGGCAAAGCATTATGGAACAAAGAAACGAGTTATTATCTGTTGAAGATAATGTGTATAGTATGCCCAACTAGACTGGTGAGAAATATATCCATGTTAGAATATTCACTTTACAAGCAAGGTGACATATGTGATTGAATATACAAAAGAAATTGAAACTTAAGAACATTTTTAAAGTTTATTTTACTCACAGTCTTGAGGTCCAAGATCAAGGGTTCAGCTGCATCTGATGAGGGTCTGCTTGTTGGTAAGGACTTTCTGCAGGGTCTTGATCTGGCACAGGGCATCACACAGGAAAAAGGCCAAGGAGTGTGTCTGTGAATCACATGACTCCTTGTTTTGGTCTCCCTCTCTCCTTAAAAAACCTTCAGTATTCAATCATGGGGGCCCCATCTTTACTACTTTATCTAATTCTAAACACTTCCCAAAGGCTCCTCATGTTTTGTTTTGTTTTTTTAATATTTTTGCCATAGGGTGTGTGCACTTGCCAGAGAGAGACAGTGAGAGGGAAAGTGAGAAATCACCCCCCAGGGGGGACAGCCATGCCGTAATCCTCTCTCCTTCTTTCTCCTGTTGGAATTTTGGGCATGCATGCACACATGCCCAGTGTGATTTTCAAGCTGCAGGGTCCTGGACTCAAACCATGATCAGACATGTTTTGAGTCCAGTACCTTAACATCACATCATCTGCTGGCCTCGAGGCTCCACCTCTTAAGACCATAGTTGGACTCAGTTCCTACCCTTTTAATACTACCACAACTAAATTTCACCGATGGATTTTATTGATTTATTTTAGAGGTATTTTTGCTAGAGGGCACATGCACTCACTGGAGAGACAGAGATAGAGAGACAGAAAGCTAGAAATCACCCCCCCCATGGCGGATGGACACAGGCCTTCTTCTCCTCTATTCTCCATTCTCCTCTCAGAATTTTGGGCACACATGCACATGCGCTGAGTGAGTTTGAAGCCACTGGGTCCAAGAGTCAAACTGCGCTTGGCCATGTGGAAGTCCAACAACATAACCATTATGTCATCTGCTGGTCCTTCAGTACATGAATTTTAGGGGGACACGGTCAAACAATTGCAATACCTTTACATTTGTTTCTGGTATAAAGAGGTAAGTTTTTTTTTTTCCCCCTTAGGAATGAGAGAACACATTTTACCTCTCTCATCAATATAAAGAAAGGTTGGTTAGAATATCCAAGTCACTTAGACGTAAGAAAAAAAAAGAATAATAGCAGTGAAAAAATGGGTAGAATAGAGGAGTCGTGCAGATGGTATATCACAGAATACTTGGTAGGCAGGGCTGAATTGAGAAGGATTATGTGTGACTAGTGTGTTGGGCATTTGCTTTTCAACAATTTGATTAGTTGACATGTAAATATTTTCTCAAAAATGTTTAAAACCATACTGTTTTTGTTATAGAGTCACAGACAAAATTATACAAAATTGTAAGAAATATTTTCACATTATCTTTCAAATTCAATATTTTGAAATTTTGATAGTTGTTTATTAACTGTCAAGAACTATGGAGTATGAGTAGGACCACCAGTTAGCATAATGGCTATGTCGCTGGACTCCCAGTAGCCAACCGCAGTTCAAGTCCCAGACCCAGTGACTTAAACTCACGCTAGATGTGTGTGCATGTGTGCCCAAGATCCCAAGAGGAGAATGAAAGAGAAGGGATTGCGGTGTGGCCATCCCCACTGGGGGTGATTTCTCACTTTCTATCTCTCTGTCTCTCTCTCTGTCTGGTGAGCGCACTTGCCCTATAGCAAAAACCTCTCAAAAAAAAAAAAAAACTATGGAGTATGAGAAAAAAAATTTGATATGTAAAGTAAATGTGGGAAAATGTAAAAATAAATAAATAAATGGGGAAAAATTTAATTAAAGGACAGGCTCTGAAATCAAACACCTGATCTTGTATTTCAAGCTGTGGGGCTCTTAGGAAGTTATTTAACCCATCTGTACCTTGATTAAAGTTTTCAGGATTTAATAGCATAATGTATAAGACTTTGCACATCTTCTAAGAATTCCACAGCTTAGCTGTTACTATTAGTTCCTATCAGGACCTGGCAATGTGCTTAACACTTTTTAAATCAACACGTAATTTATGCACTATAAAATTCACAAGATTCAGTGGTTTTTGAACTTACTTGCAGTGTTTTACAACCACTACCACTACCTAGTTCCAGAGTACTTTCCTCAGCTCAGAGAGAGAACCCCTATCTATCAGCAGTCATTCCCATCCCCATTCCCTGTGGCTTCTGGAAACCACTATCCACTTCCTGTCTCTATGAATTTGCCTGTTCTGAACATTTCATGGAAATGGAATTATCCAACATACAATCTTTTGTGGTTAGCTTCTCACTCAGCATAACGTCTGCAAGATTTCTCCACTTTGAGAAACCACCTATCTCTGTGAAGTAGGATTCTCGTTGTGGTTTTTATATAATGTCTTCATTTGTTCATGCTGCTATGACAAAATACCACAGAATAGGTCATTTATAAAGAATAGAAACATATTACTCACAACTGAAGAGGCTGTAAGTTCAAGATCAACGTTCCAGCAGCCTCGATGGTTCTTTTTAGCAGGTTCTTGTTCCTTTTATGGAGGAGAGAATCTTCAGAAGTCCTTACTTCGCCAATTTTAGTGGCATCATTTCCATACAAAATGGACTACAAAATTCTTGAATCCAGACTGACCAGATTCAGATCTTAGCTTTACTAGCTACTAACTGTGTCACTGTGACCAAGGTTTTCAATTCCCTTGTGCCTCAGATCCCTTTTATATGACATAGAGATTATAATTCTATATACGGCATAAGATTGTCATGAAGATTGAAATACTTGATACAGGGACCAGCAGGTGACATGATGGTTACGTCGCTGGATTCCCACATGTCAACTGTAGTACAAGTCCTGGACTCAGCAGCTTGAGACTCACACCAGGCATGTGTGTGCCCAAAATCCTGAGAGGAGACTGGAGGAGAGGGAATTGTGGTGTGGCCATCTCCCAACCCCGCCGGGGCTTTCTGTCTCTCTGCCTCTTTCTGTCTCTCTGGTGAGCACATGCACCTTATAGCAAAAATCTCTTTAAAAAAAGTTAATACATGTTAAAAATGTAGTACCACGTATATAATAAATACTGACTATTACAGCTATTATTGTTGTTATTATCTCATTCCTCCAAACATTGCTAGAGGAGGAACTGTAGTTATCTTCACTTGACAAATGAAGAAAGGGAAACAGGAAGAAGTTAAAGAACTTGCCAGGAGTCACAGCTAGGTGTTCTGTGTTTCTACAGGGAAAGATACAAGGCAACCCCCAAGCTTATGTTGTCATAGGCTGCTGGCAAATCATACGAGCACTCAGAGCCTGGAAGTGAATATAAAGGAGGCTGAACTTTAAGCCCATGAACATTGCAGCCCCCAGAGACTACCACTAGTGGCTCTTCCTCTACACCCAAGAAAGCAAGAGCAAAACATTATATACATGAGGGGTACAAAGGAACTGGCCAAGGAAAAAGGCAAGTGAAGAAAGACTCCAAAAGTACCCATCCGTGAGAGGGAAAACATCAGTCATTTTCGTCAGATTGATTTGTACCTTAGCCTACCATTGGGAGGAAGAAGTATCTATGTCAGTTCCTATGTATATTTATGCTATATATTATCTGCTGTGTGGGGGCGGTGGCATCAGATGATACAGACAGATATTCCAAACGTCTCTTGCTTTGGTGCAAATCCACACTAGGGAATGCAAAACCCTTTCAGGCCAATCCTGACGTTTTGCTTCCTCCCTGCACCCACCCTACACAGTTCCATTTAACAAAACGATGCTGAACATCCTCTCCAGGCAAAGTATGTTACACCCTAGAAAGGCTCTTCATTGATTGAAAGGAGCCCAAAGAAGCAATTTCCAGCTTCAAGAAGCTAAGAACCAAGTATAAAACTAAGGAAGGATATCCAGAAAGTAGAGTGCCATTCCCAACGAGGTGAAAACCAGAGTCCGGGAAGTTCTGAATGAAGGAGAGGATCAGGCAGAGCTGACCTTAAGGTGCTGCTAGGAGGTGACATAGGAGTTCAGTGGGGCAGTAGGAATGTAATCCAGGGGCTAGAGAAGCCCTAGGGAAGCACACAATACAGGATATGTTTAGGACCGGTTTGGTGCATGTCTGTAAGCACAAAACAGGAGCCCCATTGTGTAGGGTTTTCTTGCCAGGACAGATAATGTAGGCCCAAGCAGTTTAGATAAGGGGGATATTCTGCAGAAATTATAAGGGGAGCACTCCCTGTTCAGATGTGGGATCTAGGTCAAGGAGGAAAGATTTAATAGAAGGAGCTACAGGGTGGTGACCGCCCCCAGAGTTCTGGGAAGGGCGCCCCTTTTGGCAGAAGAGAGACCAAATGGATCACTCACACTCAAACATCCTTAGCTCCTCATCCATCTATCCTGGGACAAAATGCGCTTGGGCACAGGCAGATAGAAAAGCTAGAAGGAATGCTCCATGGGTCATTCTGGAGCTGGCGTGGGCTGGCATGTTTGTGATATTCAATATTAGGTGGAAAGCATGCCCAAGGCCAGCAAGGAATGAAAGAGATAAAGGGGTTGGAAAACTTTTGGTTTAGATAAGTAGAGTGGCATCAAGAGGACAGAAACAAAGAGGTAGATATGATGAAATTGTGCGGAAGGTTGGCTTTATATCCTAGTGGCCTTCTGGCAATTAAAAGAAAGAAGGAAGGAAGGAAGGAAGGAAGGAAGGAAGGAAGGAAGGAAGGAAGGAAGGAGAAAGAAATGAAAAAGAAAAAGAAAGAGAGAGAGAAAGAAAAGGAAAGGAAGAAGAAAGAAAAAGAAAAAAAAACAAAGAAAGGAAGGAAGGAAGAAGGGAAAAAAAAAGAATGAAAGAAAGAAGAAGGGAAAAAAGAACAGAAGGAAGGAAGAAATTATGGATATGCCATAGGCAGATCAAGTTGTGATTTATTTCCCTCTCTCTACCCATCGTCCACTTTTCTCTGCCCTAAAGTGGCAAGTATGTGTGGTGTGAGACCATTCCCTTTAGGGCTTGGAAGATAACCATCTCTAAGGATGGGAGAGGATTAATGTGTCTTGCAGTGTTTGAGTTTTGGTGCAGGGGCACTCAGAGAGCAAACTAGGATGCCAGAGTCTGGATTCATAGGCTCTATGTATCCCTGTCCCACATTGGAGCCATGGCCAAATCTCAGAAAAGTGTCTGGGCAGAGGACCAAGTCCCTCCCATGGATGGCAGTGTTAAGTGCCATGTCATGTAAACAGCAACTTGAGCTGCTGGGGGTCAACATCGTAGCAGTTTACAGAAGACTACCCTTGGCTGGAGGTGCCCTGTGCCCACTTAGACTGTGCTTCCAGACCCTGGAACCCTAAAGACCATCTCGTAGGATGGGTACTTGCCACCTGCACCTCAAAAACTCGCTGCAAATTACTCAGCCAGTCAATGAGACCTGCTCAAGGTACTCCCTCCCCAGTGTATACTAAGTGTTAGGTGGTGTAGCTTAGAAGTGGGAGGAAATGCCAATAAGCCCACCTTGAGACTGGACTGGGGCACACTAAGGCACCTCAGGACAACCCAAATGATGTGGGAAAACGGGAAGTAAGAAGTCAAAGGAGACATCAGAGTTTGCAGCCTGTGAGAGCAGAGAGGCCAGGAGGATATTTCACTGGGAACAGAAATAGTGTGTTCTCTTTGGGTACAAGTCCCTAAGAGCATACGGAAGGAACCCACCTCACATTGCCCAGAAAGCTCTTAAATAAGAATGTCTCTCTGGGACCAGTAGTTAGCGTAATGGCTATGTCGTTGGACTCCCATGTAGTCGACTGCAGTTCGTGTCCCGGACCCGGTGGCTTAAACTCACGCCGGGTGCGTGTACGTGCGTGCCCAAGATCCTGAGAGAATGAAGGAGAAGGGATTGCGGCATGACCACCCACCCCCAGGGGGTGATTTCTCGCTTTCTATCTCTCTCTCTCTCTCTGTCTGTCTGGCGAGCGCATGCGCCCTATAGCAAAAACCTCTCCAAAAAAAAATAATAAATAAAATAAGAATGTCCCTCTGACCTGCCATTTCCTGGTCCCCAAAATGTTTGCTCTGGAACATTGCTTCCCATCTGGTGACTCTCAGAATATTTCCTCTGTCCTCAATATGAAAGACCAACAAATATTTGAAGTCAAGATTTATCCCCTGCCCACCTCCCACCAAATCTTTTCCTCTTCTTAAACATATTCATGATCCTAGAAGAGACTATGATCCTGACTCAGTAACTAGACACTAGGGAAAAAGATAAATAAAGATAGAAAAGAAAAACTGAGTTCAAAGACAAATGACTAGGATTGGTTTGAGGTTTGACTAGGATCCAGTTCTGACTCTACAGTTTATTCTCAGAGAAGAAAGACCCAAGTCCCTGGAATGCTCTGGGGAAGCAGGAATTTTTACCTCCTCAAAGGACACCCATAGAAGGACATTCTGTAACTTCACATGACAGGCAGATGATGCTTTTAGCGCTCCCAGCAGGCGAGTGCAGTTTTCTACAGAATGGTGCTACCTTAGTGGTGCCAGCAGTGAAGCCACACAGATCTAACAGAAACATATTTTACACAACAGATAGAAGGAACCTTGGAGAACACCTAATCTAGCCCTTTTCATTTACAGATGAGAAAACTAAGCCTCAAAAAATGAACTAAGCCATCACTCAAATGTATTTTCACAGATCTAAATGTCTGGGGTCATTAGCTGGGCTCATACCCAGTCTCCTGTAACTCTCATTTCAGGCAGAAACAGAATGGCCCCTCCTTCACCTGCCCCCTGGTACTTCACATCTTCAACATTGCACAGATGCTCAGGACGAAGCAAAGAAATGCTTTCAATGTTTTCCATTCCTGGATATCACAGAGCAGAGCCTAGAGGTTTGTGCAAGTTGTGATACTCTATTGATAGTTCTCAGGTTGACAGACAGCTTCATGAATATTAATTATGTTTTTGTGAATTGCCAGAAGGAGCATGCATTCACCAAAGAGAGACAGAGAACCAGAGAGGGAGAGCACCCCCGCACACAACCATGGTCACAGTTGCACTGTAATCCCTTCTACCTCATTTCTCCATCCTGTCTAGATTTGGGGCATGGGCACATACACACACCCAGTATGTTTTTAAGCTTCCTGGGTAGGGATTCTAACCACACAGTTTGCCACATGGAATCCAGCTCCTTAACCACCAGGTCATGAGGCCAGCCCAATTATGTTATTTTGATTTACAACACATACCTATACAAACGTCATATTTTTTTTGAGAGAGCAATCTTTGCTGTAGGGCATATGCACTCACTGGAGAGACAGACAAAAAGCAAGAAATCACCCCCTCCCAAAGGGGGAATGGTCTGATGGCAATCCCCTCTCCTCCATTCTCTTGGGATTTGGGGCATGCATGCACACACACCAAACATGAGTTTCAAGCCTCCAGGTCTGGTACTCAAACTGGAGTCAGACATGTTGGAGTCCAATGATGTAACCATTATGCCATCTGCTGGTCCCAAACTATATATATTTTAATATATATCCAGTGTAATATTTTTCACTGTTCAGTGATCTCTATCTACATTTGTTTCTTAAAGCCAAGAGGAGGGAAAAAGGTGGAAGAGAAAAA